TGATACATATTGTTGTTAACCTACCTAACTATTGTTGAGCTGTAAACGATAGAATTTTGTTTGTTTGTATATCTATACCAAAACTATAATTGAACATTATTTCTGGATTTCTCAGCCTTTCGTATTATAAAAAAGTTATACACAAGTAAGATATTATTATCAGCCTAAGTCATCATATTCGCTCAATCTTTTGCCTTTGAGATATTGTATCTGCATTCACAAAAAGGAACAAGAATTAATCAAGCTGGAGTGTCTAGTTATATAAAAGGTCTCAACATTTCTCACAGAGTAATTGCATTCCTGCTAAGATACTTTTACTGATGTGTAATTAGTGTTAAGAGATGAAACGTACTTAGTTTATTTTAATTAAATGTTTTCTAGGTAAAACGTTATTAAATTTAATAATTTTAACAAAGAGTTATTGTTTTTATATTTTTTAATGGTCGTTTCTTAAATTTCTGCCAATAAATAGTCCCAATATGATTTCATGTTTCGAACATTAGTTCTATTTGATCACTATTGATTTGCTTAAGGGTCATTTCTGTAAATGATGTATAAACCAGTTTATTATTATTGATAAATATTTAATTGGTCTAAAATTATTGGATGCGTTTGGTTATAGAAGATAAGTAACAATTTATATGTAAATGAATTTCAAAAAAAATTATCGTAACGAAAACATTATTTATTATGAACTAAAATGAGACGGTATAAAAAACCGTTGCAATAAAGTTTTACTAAATATAAACATTAGCAATAAAAACAACTATATCTCAAGTACGTACTAGACTTAATGTCATCCCCATAATCAATTATAAAGTTCACGTAAATATTATTCAAATATGATCAGTAATTAAATAACATCAACCACTTGAACATTTGCAAATTTAAGCAGAGTAACTCATGACGGTGTTTTTCAGGCATGTATTTTATTAAAGACACACACTGCTTATATTTTAGCTTCAGTTGCACTTTTTTAAAATCGCTCAAGCTGAAACCTCCAAATTAATTAACATCTCGACTAACTAAACGAGGAAACTTTATAAATGCCCGTGTATTACTCCTTAGTAATTAGAGGTCATTATGGAAACAGCGTCGCTTAATTTAGGCTGCGTTTGGGACGGATGCAAATCCCCCAAGTAGCCGCCATTTGTATGACTTGAAAAGAAAAAAACAAACATTTTTGTTTAGGTTAAGTATGATAAATATATTTTGAATTTCATTTAATGCATTATATCATATACATAAACTGTGAGGCAAATTAAATATATTGTTATATTATTATAAACGTCAATTTAGGTAGGGGGCTATTGTGTAATGATATTAGGCGTAGGTATAAGCATTTATCCAGATCTTTTAAAATTGCTTTCAAAGATGGGGCTGGTACGGTTGATAATGCTAGTAGATTATACTTTTACTTGCGTTTTTCATTATATATAATAAAATAGAACCAAGTTATGTCAATAATGTTCCAATGTGAAAAATTTTATAGTTAGTTTTGAAATTTATTAAACATTACGATTAAACAGTCCTTTTAAGCTTTTTCAATATGGTTTGTAAAAATATTATCTTACATGAATAATTTTGTAATTTTTCATTTTGTACTATAGAACAAGGATTTTTTATTGAAATGGGTAAACAAATCGACATCATACTCAAGCATACAAGAAGTTCAAATCAAATCATGCTCTAGATTTTTCAATAGGCTCAATCATTCGTTCTTAAAGACAGCAAAATGTTATAACAGTATTATTTAATAAACTAAACCATACGGAGCCTAAACTGGTGGTAGGTTTCCTGGTCAAACCAGACAATTGTATCTTGGACTACTTGCAATATCAAAAATAATTTGATATACTGTTATGTATCTAAAAAGTAAATTCCTTGCTATTATGAAGCTGTTCGAGTAGACTTAATAAATGAAGTATAAGTTGGCTACGGCTATGATATGCTATAACGTGTGTATTTTTTTTTTATCACTGTCATAAATTTGTAAATATAACACATATTGTTGGGTCTCTCAAAAGCCGTGTTTTCCGAAGACAGAAAACAAACGTTATCATAATGTCTAATCATATTGCTAGTTATTCTGCTTGATATGATGGTATAATCTATATATAAAGCCAAAAGTACCCATAAACTTTTGAGAAAACTACAAGTCACACCCCCATAAACCATATACTTAAAATGTTCGTCATGACGAGAAACCTTGCGCAAAGCTATCCATTATTTCTTAAATTGCCCTTTAAGGTCGTAATTCCTTTCCAAAGGGAACTTTTCATGTACCTAATGTTAAAAATACCTCAGCTGTACTTATTTGTTTGTTATTCTTTCAATTTATTGCCTTATTAAAGTCAGGTGTGATTATTTGTTTCTTTTACTGTATTTTGTTTATTTCATTTTAACTTAACCAATCAATATTTTTATTAATACTTATGATGTTAAACGGGGTGAAGCCCGTGGGTAACAGCTAGTTACTGTATATAATTTTTTCATACACCACCGCAAGAAATACGTGATTGGTGCAATTAGTAATCATGATTTTTATTAATGTATTAGATGAATAAACCTAAAACTATAAAAACCTACATCAAACTTTACAGCTAGGAACTAAGAATGCAGTTTAAATTGCTTTATTGAATACATTGAAAATTGTATATTGATTTTTAAGAACGCCTCGTAAATGAAAAAGCAAGTCTAGAATCCTGTTCTGATTCACCCAATAAAATTTTATCGTTGGGTTGTTTTATTGTTCAAATGTACCCACGACTATTAAAATTCAAAATTAGGATAAGAAACAACCGTTGCATGAATATCTATTAGGCCTAGTTGATGTTTGCTTAATATATACGATTTATTGAAAATACTGTACTCATAAATCGTGAGGTGTTGGTAGAATCATTGGATTTTATTCTAAAAAACCATTTTAAACACGCAAATTTCGCAACGAATTGTTTATCAACTTATCTAACTGTAGTACATAAATGGGTCACAAATAATAGAAAGAAGTTAACAAAATATGTTTAATATAAGTTTCTTTATAATGAAACAAAGACCATTGCGCTACTAAAATAGTATATACATAGCAAAGTAAAAACAATCTGCAGCTGTAGGCCAAATACTTAGATGATATGTATAAATGCCGAGTATTTCTAACTCTAGTTTTTATTTTTATAATCTATACATTTTGGGTAGTAACCAACACTTAGAATACACTAGTAAATTATGCCAAGTTTCCTAGAGAAAACTTTGAGATAATGTTTAAGAAGGAAGAAAACACAAAACCGTTTCATCATTAATAATTTGTACAATAGGTAATATGCCAAAGCTAGTTTCGTTGATGCATTTTGTAAAAATACGTTTGAGAAATGCTTTATCTTTGTACATAAATAAATAAACACGTTAGTTTAGTAGGGATGTTTTAAATTTATCATCTACAGTATATACATTGGAATTATCTATTCGTAAATTTACAAGAATCTTACGCAATGGAAGCTACAGTCAATTTTCTAGCAACTAAGTTTAAAAGTGTTACTTTGCAATTAAAGTCAAAATTAGATAATTAACTACGGTCTGCAGCATTATACACTGGAATGCGGTTCGGTTTACAATTAATAACTGATTTTTCATAACAAAGTCAAGTGGGCTGTCTGACGACATTTCCACAGATATAGTTCACACAGATACTTACAATAACACTGTACTTAGAGCAACATTATTTTCTAAGTATACATCCAATTTTCATCTTAATAAATTTCTTTGATTATTGTTTATCTAATTTTACCATCAAAATTATTGTTTTAAAAGAACCATTAGGCCACTTAAGGGAAACCATTGACTAGATAGGAATAGAACAATACAACTAAAATTTTTTATTATTATACGCACAGATGGAAAATAATTTAGTAAGCAAAGTGTGTTAAAATGTTGATACCAAACGTTTTGAGATGGTATTTAACTCATACTCGAAAATTATTTTACGTAAATGTATAATTTCAAACTGTTAAGACAAACCTTTTTTAATGTGTCAGGGTAAGCCAGTACAACTTTATACTTAACTACATTTTAGTCCGAAAAAGATAGCGTATCTCAACAAACTCAGACATTTAAACTAGTGGAAGATGGAAGATTAGTCCAAGGAGGAGCTGGATGAGTCAGGTTATCTTGCTGAGGTCACAGCGAGTACAACAACTACTAAACAGACAACACTGCCTGAAGACGAACAGCAACTGATCGACGCTGGAAAACAACAACTCTACATCAGGTACTTTTCAAAAGGAAATACGCATCAACTGAGACTTCAACAATAATTTAGGGAAGGTTGCACAATGAAGTTATTCATTTTTAGTCTATTTTTGGTAAGTGCAATTTTATGTTATCCTAGTGATGTTTACGGATAATTTTATCACGAATAGGGAAGACAAGTTTTAAATCTGGTCTGCAATATGATCCTGTCCTCAGCTGATAAAGTCCCCCAATGTACCAAGATCAGTATACTGACCAAACATTAGATCGGTTTTTCTTTTGTTCAAAAATACAAGTTAAATTCATGTTTATTGTCTAACCGTAAATCCACTTGTGTAGTTTTCTAGCTTTGATGGGATTGTGCTAATATAACATTTGTATGGTTAAGATACTTCCTCACCTGTGAATCGTACCAGATTCTAGACCCAGAAAATGTCAAAGCTGGTTTTTCAAATATGTTATGTATTGTATCATAAATATCATGATCATGAACATTATAATTTTCATATTTTTGGTCATTATACTTTCTAAACTGGGTCTTGTCAAATAGATCCAACTCAAAGCAAGTTATTAAATAAAGCTCACTTGAGAAGATGAATGTATGGGTTGAAGATTGGGAAAACCATTTCCATCTTTTACTTAATTTAAAACTTAATCTAAAATTAGGGATTCCCACCTCCCTACACTACCTCTAGGTTTTAAGTAGTGTTACGTCTCAACTCACTACAACTATTTCAACCTCACATTGTACCCACCTCGTACTCTGTCTGCTATAGACTTGCCCGTATCCTTCATCTCCAAGGCTGGAGACTTGTGATGCTTGTCACTCTCCACACTCTCTTCGTTCGTTCTCCAGTAGACAGTGGCGATGGTGGCCAGACATTTCAGTTTGAGATCTCCTCGCTTGAAGTGGCGAGGTTCTGCACGGAACACTAGTCCCAGAGTCACCATTTCAAACCCTTTGTGAGGCTTGCGGATTGGCCCAACCACGTACGATTGGTTAGCCTGTCAAACAGTTATTTTAACTTAGTACAGGTTGGTTAGCTGATTGGTTATAGTACTGGATTAGCAATGCAACGGTTGTTGAATCGATCCTGAGAAAATTCAGTAGCTTTTTGATGGTTCAAAACTGGAGCTGTTCCCGATCATTGCGTTTTAAAAAGAAATGGCCCTGTCTAATGAAACAGCTGATCTTAGCCGGTAAAAAAGCTACACAGATCATCTCACCCCATTCTACATTCATCAATATCTTATATTTGGGTTAAAAACGTACCTTATGTGGTATCTTCATCTCAACCAATAATAATTAATAACTGATAATTGATGTTTGGTACTAGAGGCTATTTACTCTAAGCCAGTGTAAAATTGTTTTATACGTAAGGTTCAGTTTCATATAGTTAAATATTAACCTGTTCTCCGTTGATGAACCAAGTGAGCTGGGTGGCTGGTCGGGAAGGTCCTGAAGTACAGTTTACCCTAACCGTGTCTCCGAGTTGGTATCTAGGTCTGCCTCCAATGATGCGTGGTCCTTCCTTGGGTATTGCTGTAAAATAAAGGTTACAGCTTAGCTAGACATTCAACATACAGCACAGGAACGACTTTGATCAATCAATTTTATGATTTTAAATTAACATTACAACATTTAGAGCAAGTTTTTTTTTCAATCCCATTGTTGTATGTGAAGGACTTCTAGACTTCATATTACTGCATTTAGCTATTTTTCAAATGCCAATTGTATTAATATTAGGCCCTTTAATAGATTTATGGTGTCGAACAATGCACTAGTGATTTTTGATTATACTTAAATGGTTATTTGCATCAAATTCCCAGCACAGGTGTCATGAACTAAAGTTATCATAATCAAATTGAAAAGAGGAATGATTCTTCGTTTGTATCACAATCTGTAAGAGGCTATACAAGTACAAAAAATACTATCCAAAACATAAAAATGTCAGTATACGTTTAAGATGATAACGTTATACATAAGCTAAAGTAAATTTTTTTTCTTGTCTGAAATTTCAATTTATTTCTTTAACAACGCAAACGAATTTAATTACACAAGTGATGTATGCTTTAAATTGGTACAGACGTAACCGTTTGAGTTGGTTAAAAACTCCCGCCGAATCTTCCTAGAAAATATTTTTGCTATGATTTTATGCAGGCTACAATTGTTGTGGTCCTGGACAAATTCATTTCTGGCGAAAGATTGAAAACCAAATGTTTTAAAATTACTAAAAGAAGAATCATGCTGATTCTTGTGTGACTCCTACACAAAGAACTACGTTGCACTGTTCTCATAGTAAGCCTAGTTAATTGTGTTGAGCTCTCACCAACTGTCTGCATGTCGCCGTGGTCCGAGACGGTTTGGAAGGAAGGAGCTTCCGCTGACACCTCGCATCTATATCTGCCTGTACTCGCCAATGTCAACTTGATCAGGCATACTTGAGTGGCATTCGAACGATCCACCTAACCCAGAATATATATTTTAATAAGAAAACTACCTAAAATAGTGTTTTGTCAGTAAACATATATTTACATACTCAATGTTTTATTGGATTAATTAAACTGTTTCCTCGCCGTTTGGTAAAACATAGTTGGTTAACAATTTATTGAACGTAAGTGATTAATTTACTTCAAAATATATATTGTTATATGTTTTAATTAATGACGTCTTAAGTACACTAACAAGAAAACTTACAGGTAAACAGCCATGATAAAATATATTCAATCTCGAAAATATTTTTCTAATTCACAGTTGGAATTAGGTAAATATTATGCCCATATTTGTGTCAGTCCCCTTGCTTATCGTATTAAATAAAGTACATGATAACTTGGAAACACTGTTTTGAAAGTTATTTGATAAAAAAGGTAGATCAGCACTGATTTAAAATGTAAGAACAACTTTAAGGGACGTGATCCCTAAATTATATATTTATTTCTCTTTCAATCGTTTTTTACAGTAATATTTAAAGTGTTTGCAGTAAACAATGGTGGCCAATAAACTGACAATTTGTTGAGGATAACACGAGCGCAATGCAGTATGCTGGACTCTAGGGTAATCCATTGTAGTAGAAAGACAATGGTGTAAATATCACCCCCTTATCACCTGTTAACACCGCGTGCTGTTAATCAGATGGATCAGGGGTTTGTTGTCGGTGAACTATGTAAAATATTGCGCTTTGCATGGTTTTAGTTCGATAGAGGGATTTAAAATGTGAAATAATTCTAGGCAATGCGTGTGCATTTTGTTTATTCATTCAATGTATCTATTTAAATATTTTTTTTTATTTTTACTCGAATTGCATGGCTTATGAATTTTTTGAACGCCCAACCACCTCTGTGCATTATAAACATGTCTAATTTATTTCTCAGATATGTAGGTACTCACATCGACCTCAACGCCACTCAGTGGGAAGACCTGCTTGGGTGGGACATCCTTAGGCAGGAACCTGAAGAACTCGTTGCCATCCTTGTACCACTTGACAGAGTATAGGGGCTCTCCCTGAAGGTCGTAGTGACACTCTAGTATGGAGGAGTTGCCAAGAAGAGTGTGACGCTCTATACGAACTGACGTCAGCACAAGACTTCTAGTCGTGCCTGTGAAATATAAGACTTTATGATAAATAATTTTAAATATATAAAGGAATACACAGATTAACCCTGGAGGTAATAGTGGCATTAGTTAGGATGAGTTTTCAAGAAGAGGCGTTATTGTTCCTAGTATTCTGTATAAAACGCTAGCTTTCTCCTACCGGAAATCATAACGTTCAGAAACTTATTTATTCTGTCATTGTGTACATTTACCTTATTGAAGTATACTAAATATATTATATTAAGGCGTGATATTAAGTGTAGTTAGACATTTCAAGAAAACAATGTTAGTATAACAACTCATGACTTTCAGTAAAAAGAAATTCACGAAAGTAGCTAATTACATTTGCATAATATTATAAAATATTAAAATAAAAAATAAAAATAATATAAACTAGCAAACATATTTCATAAATTTATTTTACCATTACCAAAGTCGTTCTTAAATAATCAAAATTACTTGTAAAACAGCTAATGTAACATTTTACTAATACAAAATTTACATGATTTAAACAATTCCTGTATAAAATTAAAAATGAAGCGTGCTAAAGAAATACTACATTAATATTTATAGGATTGTGTGTATTCAAATTCAAGGAGTGTATTGGGCCGTTGAAAGTAAATATTTTATCAGTCGGAGGGGAAAGAAGAAGAAATAATCTCATAGCGGTGAGCCCACCAGCCGCGGGCGTGGTTAAGTTATATGAATCTCTGAGCCACCCAGGAATGTAAATCAGTTAATTAACATAACACTACCCAAATTATTACAACTAAATTCCTCGTCACTGCTTTCTTCTTTTACTTATCGGAGCTGGAAATCGATAATTTTAATAGTGATCAAAATTTTGTATTTTAAAGGGTCCATTAAACCTTATTAAAACACTTTTTAGTTGAAATTAATGATTGTTGCTCGTTAAGTTATGATAAATGCTTGCCTTTCATACTTAATCTTAGAATTAAATTGTATGTTGATGACCACGACAGCCAGGATAAGAAATTAGCTAAAATGTATACAAAATGAAATGTTTTCGACCAAAACATCTTCTAAACAAAGTGAATTAAGCTTGTACACTCCCTTGATATACATAATTTTATCTATATAACAAACTGGAAATAGTAAATGATATATTTTTTTTAGTAAAGCACTCACTAAAGATACATTTCTTAGTTCAAGGTCATAGGGAGTTACATACATTTAAAGTATTACGCTTCAATGGATCTATGGTCAGCGACTCAAATACATCTACTTAAATAATACTGCATCATAACAGCCCTGCCTGAAAATCATACAAACTTTTGCTAAGGCGCCAACATACGATTGTAAAGCTAACTGCCTTTATGTAATGCATTAAAATATGCTAATTGGAGAAGCCTTGTTTCTTAACATTCTAACAGGATAATCTTATAGCATGGTGGTATCAAAATACGCTTTTACTTACGATAGAACTCACGTTTTAAGGCAAAATTTTAAAAACAAATCCTCATTGAAATAATTACATGCATTTATATGGATACAGATTGAAACTGTAAGAGTATAAAACATGTCTTCAAATAAAGGAACTTATAACTGGTGTTGGAATAGTAAATTAACAGTTGTTATTATTTTCTTAGCCATTGTGTTAAAAATCTCTAAAAAACGCAACATTAATGCTTGACAATTAGTAATAAGAAATTAAATTGTGTGACGGCCTACCGATTAAAATAACATTTAAACCAAATATATTTTACAATCCATGGTATGCTATTTTGTGAGCATGGCTTAATAACTTTTTATCAGTATAATACGTGTTATTAGACGTATTTATTTACTCTCTATGGCCTAATGTACTAGGTATAAGATGATTTAGGGACTTTATTTTGCTAGTATAAGAAAACAAAATAAACAGATTAGATTTAAAGGTGTAAATAACAGATTTCTCAGGCTAAAACACTTTCTTGCTTTAAAAGCCACCTGTTGCCAGCTTTTAACACCAGTTGTAAGTCATGTTCTGTATTAGAGAGAAAGATAACTTACCAACTGAGAGTAAAAAATTAATAGTTTGATAAAAAAAAAACTAATCGTAGGTTCGTCAGCTCACACCTAAATAAGATTTTTAACGGTTTGAGTTGTTCTTAGCTATAAGATTTTCAAAAAAACCATCCTGATTAAATATACCGAAGAGCTTTGTTTAATTTATAGTCTTTATTTAATTTTAATAAATGAATGCCTGGATTTGCTGCAACAAGGAAAAGAGTGTTTGGTAAAACCTCTAAAGCCTGTGAATAATTAGATACCATGATAATGTTTTTTTTATGTTTATCCACGTTCAGTGGAGGTCTGGAAATCAGTTTATCCTCTTTAGGGTAACACTATAAACAAAATACTACACGAAGCATTATTTCTAAAATAGCAGTTGACTAAATATATGGAATATAGTCCTACATCTAACATACAAAAAGTTCATGTTCTATAGAAAATAGAAACTTGTCTGTAATCACAAAAATAACAAAAATATTTTTCAACCACTCTGTTTCTGATCCTAATGATAAAATATTACTAGAGTAAATATTTTATTTTTTACCTAGGCTATGCTAAAGAAACGTTTTTAAAACGTTAAAGGAGCACGTCCGGGAAGGTTAAGGAAGTTCGTTAAGGAGATCTAATTATGGAGACCCGTCATGTTTGGAAAGGAGGTTAAGATCTGTTGGTCATTACTTGAATTTACATTCATACCGAAGTGTATATTACGTGTGTTCACGTTGTATAACATTGAAGAATATTATGCGTTTTTAGTTTTGAATATTTATTTAAATAAAGTTTTTTTTATGTCCTTGTATTGATATTTATTTTGAGTGGAACGTAGCCTAGCTCCTTTAAACGATATATTCCAAAATTTCTTTACATGGTTCAAAATTTGTCTTGCAGGTTCAACGAAAACTAACCTTAAGCCAAATTTATGAAGGATTTTTAATGTAACCGTATGTGTCTTAAAACTAAAAACAATCAATTGAAGTCGTATTATATTGATCGTAAGTAACCTCTGATACTTGGTATTGTGCATTTTTAAGCTGATTTGTTAAGTCATTTATGAAGGGTGTAAAAAAACGTTTCAGAACCTTGGCATACGAATCCTCATGCTAAAAGGAAGAAAAAGGTTTACGTAAAGGTATATCCGAAAATGCATGTTTACCCAGATATTCGCCATTTTGTTTTGTATACACAAATGTGTTTATCTGTGAATTGTTTTAACCAATGGTTTTGAAACTTGGTGAGCATGTTAACGTACACAAGACCTATGATAGAAAAAAAAATAAATTTGGTTCAATAAAAAATTTTAAAATGGCGGCTGTTTAAATTTTCATTATTTAATCACTCAAAAATTGATAATTTTATCAAACAATGTCAAATACACTTTTTAGCACTTTAAATTCCCTATCAAATTATACCATGATCAAAAAGATCTGACAAAAAATAACTGAAATATAACGTTTTTGGTGTATAAAATAAAGCAAAGTTACTCGGATGCACTTATTTGACTGATCTTATAACTAATAAACGTTCTAATTTAAGTTATTTTTTGTCCGATCTTATTTAACTTGGTATCATTTTATAGGGAATGGAAAATGCTAAAAAATTATCTAGAATTTTTTTTATAAAATTATCCAATTTTAAGTTTGTTTTAAGTTATAATAATTCAAACGGCCGCCATTTTTAAAATTTCTAATCGGACCATCTTTTTTCCTATATTAGGTATTGTGTACGTAAACTCTTACCAAGTTTCATAATCATTGGTTGAAAAACTAAACATATTAATATATTTATAGAAAAAAATATTTATGTATAAAAACAAAATGACGTATTTCTAGGTAAATATGCATTTTCGGACATACCTTCACAGAATAAGAATATGAATAAGAAGATTTATTTTCCTTTTGACAAAGTACATGCCTTTGGAATACTTTTTCCTCCTTTCAGCATTAGCATTCATATGCCAAAGTCCTGAAACGTTTTTTTTACGGTCACCCTGTACATCTAAATTCAAATGTATGATTATTTAGTTTTCCTTAACCAAAACGTCTGTCCGATCTCTATTCTTGGAATAAGGTTTTTTGGTCTTGAGGGGTCTGCCATCTATGTTCTAGAGTTGCCAAATGATTTTTCATAAAATATTATTATTACTATGGTACAGGAAGGTTAAAGTGGCATTGCTACCATAATTCTGTAATCAAACGTGCTACCATTTTATAATTTGGGTTCTCAAAAATTATTTCATTACCTACCCATTAATTATTGGGGTAAACTCTATCTACTTGGAATCAAGATTGGAGTTTGTATTCATTTTCATTTTCATTTTTATTTCCACGGCAATGCCATTTACAAAACACATTCGGTTAAGATTATAATAGATTATGTAAATACAAAACATTATATTACAACAAATCAACATTTCATCAGCAATTGCATCAATAAAAGCAATCAAAAATAACAGCTATATTACTGCTATATTAGCTGTATTAGCTATAATAGCTATATTATATTATATTATTATATTATATAAATAGCTATATTAGCTGTATTACTGTCGACATCTGTGTAAGTGGCTATCCTAAAGTCAAAGTATATTATAAATGCATTAAAGAATTTCTCTAAGATTATATAACTACTCACATTCTTACAAGGTCAATAAACCAAAATATTAAGAAACAATTAAGGAATCCAGTTATAAAAAGCGTGGAATCCATAACTTTTTAACTAAACCTGTAAAATTTTGAAATGTCGATAAAAAATTGTAAAGAATTATTTTGATCGTCGCCATTCATTTAATAAGAATCATTGATATGACAGTGGTTCATATTTTTATTAGAGTTATACTATGGTCATTACATCATTATTATATTTACGGAATGACTGTAAACTTTGAAACACTTTGGAATCCATAACGTCCCTTAGTTTCTTTAGGTTGACGACAAACTGCAATAATTGCATGAAGGTTTTCTGCAGTTTATAAATCAGAGAGTGCTGATACACCCTCGTTTGAGACTCATTATAACATGAATATGGATTACAAGAACAAGAAACTCTGACACGCGAAATTCTTCCAACAACCTCGGGATATTAGTTCAGGTTTGCAAGACATTTTAGGCACGGTATTGCTGCATTCAGTACTTTTACGTTGCAGTCATTAAGCTGTTAAGTTTCATTGTATATTTACTGAACTGAAACTTGTGTCCTAGCAGAGCATTAGTTATTGCAAATTGCTTTGTTAACTTTAAAAGCAAATATTTTATATAGATACTGATTATTCTCTCGGGACAACATTTATTAGATATTAATAAGCAATCTTTGTTTGGTTTCCTACCGAAACGTATCTAGTCGTAAAACATGGCAAGTTATATCTAATAAACAAATCTTTTTTGATTTCGTTTCAAAAACTTGTACTAATGAGTTTGACAAAACGACGAAACCAATATTTAATACCGAAATACTATTCGTCCGTCAAAATGTTTTGCGGAAAAACTATGTCCAAAACTTGTCATACACAAAAAGACACAACTATTTACTATATTTTCCAACTAGTAATGTTGATGAAATAAATGGTAATTAGCGATATGCAACGTCTTAAAACCATAAATAACTAAAAAACATTAACGACTTATATCAATGACTAGATTTTCTTTACGAACAATATCGTATGAAATCACATGAGAAATTAATATAAGCCTGTACCGATTTAGCTATGTGCAACTAGAAATTAATTTTAAATTATCACATACTTATAGCAGACCAAGATTTAATTTTAAATTTTAACTTTTGTATAAAGAATATAAATAAACTATGACTTTGATTAAATATTTCTTTAACTGAATATACAGCACAACAATTAAATTGTTAAATTGTTGTCTTGACTTGCAAATTTTGTTTCATTTTGCGGATTACAGCTTAGACTCGATAAAGGCCAAATAATCAAATATTTATGTTTAATTCTAGTTTGGAGGATATTGTTTGTATAGATATCTCCTCAAAAGCTTTGAAATATAATCCTTGTTAGAGCATTAACTTTCTTTAAGTGGGATTGTTAAAGTTTGTAGTGTTAATTCATATCCAAACAATCTTACATGACATTATCGTTAGGGAGCATTCTATCCAGGATAAAAATGGGAATCTCTCCTCGTGTAAATGTATATTAGGATATGCTATTCCTAAAATGAGTTTTAGAATGAGGATTTAGTGTAAAACGGCAATTCTGATGCATCCTTACACTAGCTTCCTCCTACTGCCAACGACCTCTCGCCAGCCAACAGTATGATATTATCAATGTACAGACAAGGCCTTATGAGATTAGCCTAGTTTAAGTAATACTATTTTGTTGAACAAGAAAAAGTTTCCATAGGTGAAAATGTAACAAATAATCTAAGTCAAACTATTGTAAACATCTTTGATTTGCTTGGAGCAAATGAGTCCCGTTCTTTCGAGGTACGAACTAATTGTGATTAATACATTTCTATACTAAAAAGTTTAATGTGTTTGCCTTTTGGTAAATTTGTCTAAAAAAGTAATTTTCTTCACAACTAAACCTGTAAAAAAGTAAAATAAAAAATCTTGTCAAAAAAAAATGTCAATAACTAAATTAGACTATATAGTAAAAAACCTAGGTAAAATACAATAAAACTATTGTGTGAGCGCAATTTGGTGGGTGTCTGAAGAAAGTGCTTACTTGTAAATGCACACCACTAACATAGTTTGATAAGAGGTAATGAGATAACACCTTATGACCAATGTAAGAAAGTAATAAAAATATCTAGTGTATAGATTGTTTGTTTAATAATCGTCCGGTATAGTTTATCATTTAAAATCCTAGTTATTGACTTCATGTCTATGTTACACTCAAAGTTTTCATAACCTTTTATAGAATCATTAAATTATGTATATATAAATTATGTATAGATATTTTTTATCAGTCATACAAATTATTCAGATTAGAAATTTGCAATGATAAAAATAACAAATTAATCTGTTCTTGAATGCATTTTACATATTCCTTAAAGATTTGGGTATTTTTGTCTCAAAATATATACTTATTTGAGAAATGTTTAAGCCTTACGAAATTCTAACCGAATTTCTTGTAAAAAAGTCTTTCCTGGTTATGATAATAAGTCCGTAAATAAAAGTAAAAATTTTTAGGCCTTACATCACTGTTTTAACGAACTCCCCACGCAAGGATTTAGTCCAGAAAACAGCTGTTTGTCACCAGCTAATCAAATGGTATTTCATTACGTACTTTTGTACTGTAATGAGTTTTTACCGGACACCAACCAGCTGATTATATTTGGCATTGAGTGGTTATAATAAAAAATATAACTTCTCTTAGAGGTTATGAGTAAAGATTTTTAGTTTTTTAGTCGGTGGTAAAATAAAAGGATTTTTACAGATTGTTATTGCTAAGTAAGCTTAGAGTAGTAAAATATTCTTCGTCATTCGTCCGAAATGTGTTTACCGGACTCTTATAGTTATCCATGCTCGTCCGGTATACATCTACTTTCAGGACTAGAAACGTAAAATACTATTTTGGAAGAAGTTTTTATTTAGTAAATTTAAAACAAATTTTAATGAAAATGCAATTCATCATAATAAATTACTTCAATAAATACTATGAAAGTAGCCTTTTACTTTACAATTTTATTTCTGATAAATTATAGCATCGACTATATATACCTACAGGTATATATGGCTATATATGACTATACGTGACTATAGGTATATATATTCAATGATTATAGAATATTCAAATTCAAATATTCAAGTAATTAAATTGCTATTAAATTGTTTAATTAAGGAATCGAACAAAATTCCTACTTTACATAATTTGCAATCAACATTTTCCCATTTTTACCCACTTGTATAGTTATAACAAACATAGTGTTTAGCAGGAGACTAAATTCCCGCTGCATGCCTGTGTCGCTGTGGTAGTATCTGTAGCTTAAAAGAAAATTACACATTTCAGAATCATGTTTAGCCTCAAATTAAATTAAAAAAATTAATATGATTATGACTAGACAAATATCTAATTAATACGTACATATTTAAATTCATAGCATCACATTGGTTACACAGTTCTTAGTCGAATCAACGATGTGTCAAACACTTGAAACATGAACTAGCTTAAGTTCAAGTAATCTTGAACATACGTTTAGTGTTCATTGTTATCTGCTTTGTTTATTTTTTTTTTTCTTGAAAAGTCTCTGGGTAAATGTGTTAACGTGCAGATTGAGTCAAAGGCTTTTTATTTAATAAATTTTAATATATAAATTCAATTGCCTTGAATCAAAGAATTTGAAAGTTATTTTGAAAATCTGTTTGTACAGACAATCGCTTGATAAATAAAGCGATTTATTATTTTATTTATTATTTATTTTATTTTATTTTATTTTATTTTATTTTATTTTATTTTATTTATTATTTATTATTAAAGCCAAATTTAACATCAACTATAATTTCCGTTTTTGAAGGGTCTAGCCTAAAGCAATTCTGTTAGTATAGTACAAAAAATTAATTATAAACATTTTTACAAAGTGTATTACTAGACCAGATTTAAATTTACTAAATGTATTAGGCGTGACAACATTTTTAAATAATTGTCTTTGTCCTGAACTGATTATTTCTATGACTAAAGACAGTTAGTTTTTTTTATCTGCAGCATCAGAATCAAGTATGCTTTCTAAAACAATGGAAAAATCAAGGAGAGAAATCAGGAGTCCAACAGAATTATTTAATAGAAGCTGCGAAGTTACGTCAGTGGTTGGAGAGGTTGTTTCTCTCATTTCTTTAATTCAATTTCAGGAAAGGATACGGTAAAGGTAGGAAATGAAACAGTTTTATCGTTTTGAACTCAGATTAAGTCTATGTGTTGTTATTTTTGGAAATAAAATATCAGTTAAATACTTTATAGCTTAACTGATGGTGGAAGAAATTGGTTTAGGTACATTTTAATGTATTATGATCTTATAACAATTTTAATGTTCATTATTTTTTTTAATAAACAAACTATATAGATATGAAAATACGGGGTTTTCTGCATCTCGAATAACTCCTTCCTATATAATCCATTGTCCTCCTTCTTGTATAATTTAAAATTTATTTTCTAACTAAGCTTTTTTATGTCTCCAGCTTTTTTACTGTTTTTTTTTTTTTTTTTTTTTAATATCCGATGACGCTTGAACCCAGTGATATCAATACAAATTAATTTGTTATTTATTTTATATTTATAGTGTGCTCATTTCTCATTGTAATAAATGCAAATAGTGATTAACATTAACAATTTTAATTAGTCATAGAATCTTTACATTTATTTACTGATTATTAAATAAATAATTAATAACAAAACTGTATCATTTTCCGAACTTGAATACATATCTGGTCCATATGGTGGACATAAACAATAAACATATTTAAAAAATGTACCTTTTCCTACAGTTACCAAACAATGTACATGTTCTCTCACTGATTTGAGAAAGCAAAGTGGTCAATTTACTCATCAGTGAGACAATGTTAACATTGTCTCACTCTAATTACTTTGTCTCACTCCAGATTGGCAACGTGAAGGCACGAAATAGTGAGCGCGTAACATGCAGGCAACGTCGTATGCGCGCGAAATACGTTGGCAGCACTGGCTGTAAATCAGCTGGTCAGCTGTTGTACTGTTGTATTTGTCACTTCACATTAAATGTTATATTTAAAGTTCACTTCTGTGTAAAAATAGGTTATGTTTCTTCACCAATTTATTTGTTTTATGGTAACGCTAGGAAAAGTATAATGTGCAACTCGAGTTCAAAGCACAATTGTCTCACTCGAGAAACCATTCCTCACTCGCCTACGGCTCGGGAGTAAGGATTTCTCTCGAGTGAGTCAATTGCTCACTTTTCTCACTAGTTGCACAAATAACTATTTCCTAATGATAATCTAATAGGTTTAAGAGAATAAATAAGTTTAACCTGTAGCAATAAAAGAAGGAAACTCGGTAGTCTGAAAAATCATTTATAACTTTTTTATGGTAAACACATCAGTCGACCTTTTTTTCTAATGCTCATGGAATAATTTGGGTACACAATTACAAAATTAGGAATGATTTCATATAAACGATTTCCATTATTTTTTAGAACAACCTTTGTGACATTCAACTAATCCAATCTATAAGAGTTGATAGTTAATTAAAAGTCAACTAGTTGTTTAACATGACTGGCGTTTCTTGGAACTCAAGCTTTCTGGAAGTTAAAGAAGCAAAGTAAGTAAACAAAAACTATACAAAATCAAACAGAAACATTCAGTGGTGTAACTCTGATCCCATGTATTCCTACCACGTAAAGGACGTTTGTTTCGTAAAATATATGCAGTTGGAAATGACGTAGTTGCAATGACAAATTGTGCCATTACAAAACATAATAGATTGAAAGATGAATGTTAGAAAAGCATACGAATCAATGAATGTGTATTTCTGTATGTAAATTTTTTTGGACTTAACAGTGTTACGTATAAGGTTTCATACGGTTTTTTGTTCTTTGTTTGTTGTATTTGGCCTCGTGTGTCTGAGTTATTTTTGTTGGCTTTTGTTTAAATCCTGACTGAAAGCGTTGGAGTATTTAATAAAGTGAACGTACAACATTTTAATCATGCAAAATGTGGCAATCGTTAAAAACTTACCATTAAACTACTATATATTTTTAAACTAAATTTGCAAGATTTTATTTAAATAGCAAAAACATATTCGTTATGATATCTGCATACGACGTACGGATCATGTGAACTCTATTTACAGTAACGTAAAGTATGAATACATGTAAAATACATGTAAACCTATATCAGGGTATAAAGCATCAATTATCAATTATCAATTATTTCAGATGGGGACGCCACTATGTGCGTATTTTAACAAAATATGAGTGAAGGATGAGTGTAGGATGAGTGGCGCGATCTTGTAGTCTTGTTAGTGACTAAGGTCGACATGATCATCTTGCTGTTGTCAAAAGTTATTTAGAAACATTTTCCTCTATCACGATCTCATAAAGATAAAATAAGAATGACGAAATAATAAAATGTCTCATTTATTATTTTCAGAGGGAAATGAAAAT